ACATTTAAAATTTCTAGACCAGGGTTGACCATCAGAAGCTAAATCCAAAGGAAATGAGAATAAGTGGTGGGGGACTATGGCATCCCTTTCACATGTTGGGAGAAGGTTTCTCTTCAAGACTGTTTTATCAGAGTAGGAAAATTCAGTGTTTGAAAATGTTATAAATTTGTAAAGATATTCAGCTCCTTATCCAAATGGCATTGGTTGGTCCAGATTCATCTTACATCAATCTTCCCTGCGACATTTGAACCTTGAAACTTCACACAGCCCAGGAGCCTGCTCCCTCAGCCCCCTGTGCCTTGCACATACTGTATGTCAGCCATGAATGCTCAACTGTCCTCCTTGGCTCAGTCAGCAAGAACTGGCCTTCCCAATCCCAATGCACTTCACAAGTAACTTTACTTTGAATTTTAGAACCATGCAACCTTTGTAAACATTTAGGGCAGGGCAGTGTTGCCACAAGCTCTTCTTCAGGCAAAGGATCATTTTTCATCTCTATATCCGGTAACGTTACAAAGTTCTAAACATCACAAAGCAGGTGTTTAGAAGCTTTTTAAAAAAATAAATCAATAAATTAGAATGCTAAACTCAACATTACAACACCCTTCCACATTAACCGAAGGCCTATAGTAACATGGAAAGGATAATGGACTTAATAAACAGGGTTAAGTCGTTCAGCTAAATTAGTCACTCTACCACCATTAACCTTGCTATATTACATAAAATACTTAATAAGCTCAGTTTCCACATCTCTAAAATGTACTAATAATAGAAACTGTTTTGCAGGTTGTTGATGGGATAAAATAGAGTGACACAGAGGAAATTTTCAGGTGTTCTGACACACTAACCATTCCATCAATGTTTGCTGTCATTATTATTATTATTATTATTATTATTATTATTATTACAGGCTGCAATATAAAATTATGTCACCCAAGAGGCCCTTAAGGAGCACATCCTTTTTAAACACACATGCTTTAAAGAGATGATATAGCAATGGGATGCTCCTGCTCCTGACTCCCCAGCATCTTTCCCATCTCTTCTTGAAGGACTTTTCTTGAGGATCAATCTTGCCCAACGTACTATTCCCTGCAGTGGATTCCACAGCCAGGAATCCAACTTAGATATTGCTGAGGAAAATCAAGATTAATTCAGGGAGCCGTCCCATTTTCAGCTTAGCCACAGACTAGCACTTTGGCTGGGAATAATGGTAAATGGGGCAGCACTGTAGGAAGAACACAAAGCCTGGAGAAGAAGACAGAAAAAACTTTACATCATACCATGTGACTTTTTGTGTTTGAAATGTACACGTCAGTCAGTTCCCTCTTCAGCTTCCTTTAATTCGAGTGGGGTTTAAGCACTATAACTCAAAGTGCTACATGATCACAACTAGTTGCTTTAAAGATGCAAACTTTTTAATTTTCATTATTTCACTAAGTGCACTTAGGGCATCACTAATATAGAGAAAATAGTTTATACCAGGAGGTTTTTTTTTTTTTAGATTTATTTATTTATTTATTTGAATATGAGATATACAGAAAGGAGGAGAGACGGAGAGAAAGATCTTCCATCTGCTAGTTTACTTCCCAAGTGGCCTCAATGACCAGAGCTGCGATGATCTCAAGCCAGGAGCTCCAAGGCCCTTCCACGTCTCCCACATGGGTGCAGGGTCTCTTCCAAAGCTTTGGGCCACCCTCAATTGCTTTCCCATGCCACAAGCAGGGAGCTGGGTGTGAAGCAGGGCCACCGGGATTAGAACCGGTGCCCTTAGGCACGTGCAAGGTAAGGACTTGAGTCACTGAGGCCCTATACCAGGAGTTTTTACCCAAATGAAAGTGAGGACAATCCTTTCACACGGCTTGACCAGAGAAAAGGAAGGAGAAGGCCTAGGAAAGCCGTCCACTGACTTGTCTGTATATGTGATTCCTGGGGAGGAGGGGGCTTGTGAAACAGGCAGCTTACTAAGCTACTTCCAGGAGTAGCTGCGGGCCTAGGAAACTGCATTTCTCCCAAGCAGCACAGCGGCCCTGATAGGCCATCGATCCTGTGAGAAATCCCCCTCTAGAGTCCAACTCCTCCTGGATGATGTACGTACAACCAGAGTACACAAAACCAGCCGGGAAGAAATCCCCAGAGAGCAGTGAGATGGGGAAATTTCCATAATGATTTCAGAAACTAAAAGAACTTCATGGGCTGAGTTTAACCGCTAATTCTGAAGCATGTGTTGGTAAATCTGGAAACACTACAACTCTAAAACCGGAAGGACAGAAGTATTAGATACGGTTCTTTCTGTGACTGTTTTCTATAAAAAGGATGCAATCTAGGATAAAAACAATAATTAAAAATTGATTTCAAGCTTATGGCTTCATCAATTTCATTACAATAAACTGTAGCGACTTGGCAGTAGGTCATAGCATACAATTAACAAAGCCGACCTCCGAGAATTCATCGCACTTTTTAACAGAGCAGCTATAATGAGCACAATTACAATAATTGGTAAGAAGCCTTTTCAGCATTCCATAAAACACAAAAGACAACATGACAAACTGCAATGCTTCTTTGCTAAAAACACCACATGAATGTCACAAAGAAAATCCTATGCTGACTATGGTGTAAAAGGGATGATAGCAACCGTGGAAAAAAGAAAAAAACATTTCTTGAAGGGTAGCCATGTTTTGTCTTTGTTAACAGTCAGTGGCTAAATAATAGTTAATGATGTGACTAGACCATAAAATCCACTCAGCACTTCTCAACAGGGGTTCCCCGTGAGAATTAAGCTTAAGTACTTAGAGCATTTATTGTATGTAATGCATTGACTCTTTCATGCATATCAGATGAGATTAATTTGGTAATATCCTTGGGATAATTGAGAAAAGAGTTTCTTAAATTATTTTTTTTCCTGTATGGTTTGGTTGCTTAATAAAACCCTGTTTAGAAAGATTAAATGATATTCCTTAAATTGAAAATATAGTCTACAATAAGTAGTCATAATTTTGATTCCAAGCAGTCTAGAAAGAATAGTTCTCTGAAAATTTAAAACCTCACAAACAGAACCAGAAGCTAGAAAACGTCAGTATTGCAAGTCATACCTTGTATACACAGCGCACAAACTTATGAACTGATATTTGTGATGTCAGTGGACTTCAGTTGGAGCCACACGATAGAACTTAATTTACAAGCATAGAGGTCTTGGATTCCATCCACAACCATTAGTTGTTAATCTGCCAAGTGTGTCCCATTGTGTGGAGACTGTATTGAGTCCAAGGAAAATACAGGCAGTATGACTTGAGCAAAGCAAATTATGATTTGTTCCAGTGCTGGAGCTTTACAATAGGTTTCTATGTAGAAACTGATGCTAGCTGTTTCTGAGTTTTGTGTCAGTTCTCTGCTAATCTCATGCCAATATCCAACCTCCATCTCTAGCTAGACAGCTGAATTTTAACTGAAGACATTGGGAGAATAAAAGACTACATTTCCCAGCTTCCCTTGCAGCTAGATCTAGCCAATAAAAGCACAAGCAGAAATCCTGTAAGACAGCAGGAAATTTTATTTTGAGAGACTTTTTCTCTAGCCTTTGACTCATAACTTTTCCTTTTTTCTTCTTATTTTTTCTTCTTTTATTTGCCTTCATAGAGTGTGATGAATGAAAATTCAATAAGCATCTTACGCCACTTATTAGAAAGATGGGACAGACAGATAAATATATTCTTTTGCTATTACTGTTATACATCCCTGTAATATTGACTTCTAGATCCCTTTAGCATAAGGGAATAAGATAGTTTTCTCTTTCAAATTGCAAAGCTAACTTCTAATATAATCCACATTCAGTTTCTTATGAAGTAAAGGTCACTGAATTAACAAACCAATTGAGATTAAATATTGAACTGATTTGCAACCCCCACAACTTGAATAATGTATTAAAATAAAAAGTAGCACTTTATCCATGTGATAACAATATTTACTATAATTGATTTTTTCTTAAAATTTTGTTGAGTATATTTAATTTTAAAACACAAGAGATTCAAATAAGCAATCAATAATGAAAAATACAAAATACAAAAATTGTGAAATTGTTGTGATGGTTAACTATTACTCTGTAACATACACTAAACTAAGGTAGCAAAATGGATCCAAAAAGCTGTAAATTGATGCAAGCTGACTGGGTCTTTTTCTTATTTGTGGACTCAGTATTGATATCTTTGTGTAATTCAGTCATTCTATATCTGTTTATACAGACTAATCCACTTCCAGGCCAAATGGAAGACTTTGGTCTTTCAGCTTTCATGTACAGAAGACAGATGCCTTAGAAAAATCCCCAGGATAATCGAAAACTATCAACATACTTTTGATGTCCACTGAATCCTTTCAAGTCTCACTTGTGCCCTGTATTCTTCAAACGGCATTAAAATGTTTTAAACAGTCCTAGCAAAGGATTGAGAGCATTAGATTGCATTTTAAATTAAGTCTATTCCTTAGATTGCTTTTGATCAATCAGGCAGAAATTTTGTTCTAGTGTTGTTCTACAGTAACAAGAACCTGTGGTTATTGCAATTGCTTGGTCAAATGATATTTTGGGGAAAAACATTCATGCAAAAAACCTTCCTGGGATTTGGAGCTGCCAACCCCTTGTCTGCTCCTGTGTTAGGCAGACCTTTGTGAAAATAAGACCTTTCTCTTCTATGTAATCTCAGTATTATTTTTAAAATATCTGTAACTCTTTAGTCTGTCTACATAAACAAATATTTGTTGTTATTTCTATGTAAATAATCAGTACACATTTTTCATTCCATCCACCTAAAGCAGTGTGGAGTCGTCAAATTAATGAGTGACTTACCCAGGCTCTCCTGTCTGCTCTTACATACTCTTATTTCTTTATGCTACACACAAGTAAGGCAAAGGGCTTAGTTGTGTAGCAAGATTATTTTCTATGGAAAAAAAAATCTTTCTACCCCTAACTTCTCTATTATAAATATTGAGATAGCAAGAAAAAGATACTTTACCCCCGTGACATCCATAACCTTAATGGCTGCAAGCTGGCCCGTTTTGACATGACGACCCTAGAAAGAGAATACAACGAAAAGGCATTTAGTTCTGATGAGAAATATTACCATGCAGTCCCAACTGTGAAGAATACACAGTTAAACAGATCACAGCCAGAGTACGTAAAATGAGAAAACAGACATGCCACAGAAACTTTAAATATTTTGAAAATATTATTACCACAAATACTTTTTAATTAATTTATTTGAAAGCTAAAGAGAACACGCATATGTGTGAGTTCAGATCAAGCTCTCATCTGCTGGTTCACTACCCAAATGCTCACAACGGTATGACTGGGCTGAGCCAAACCAGGAGACTAGAACTCCATCCAGGTTTCTCATATGCGACCATCACCTGCTGCCTCCCAGCGGGTGCATCAGCAGGAAGCTAGAAGCAGGCGTGGAGTCAACTTCTACCCTGGCACTCAGAAGTGGGATTCCTGGACTGTAACAGGTGTCAACTGATGGACCAAACGCCGAGTCCTGAGCATCTATTCTCTGTTAGTTGTTTTACGCATTTTCCATATCTTTAGCATTGTGGTGTAATTTCCAGCGGGTCAAGTTTGAAAAAAACAAACACAAGGTTAAACAGTATGATCCTACTGAGTGTCTCCAAGGCGACAGAGGGCTCAAGTGCATGATGGATTCATGAACAGTGGGAGGTAGGGCAGCATAAAGGAGACCCCGACATCTCTCTATCCTTAATCATTCTTTGCTTGCTCCTTGGGAAAGCATCATGTCTAGGTCTGACTCTCAGACAACAGAGCCATTCCTCCTAAATGCATTGGACGTATGGCTTCCAGAATGCGTTTCACCTACTACTGTTATCAGGCAGCATGATGTAGCTGATGAAGTCAGCTGGGTTCAGAGCGCAGCTGCATGCCCTCAGGCAAGTCTCTTAACCTTCCAGCTTCAGTTTCCTCATCTGAAAATAGAGGTAGTACCACTCACAGCACAGCAGTGAGAATGACATGAGGGAGAAATGAGAGCAGCTCCACCAGTGTGCCTGGCACAGAGAGATGTCAGCAGATGCTGGCAAAAATTATGTATTGCCCTGTCTTGTGATTAATTAAGTATTGTCTTCCCTATGAAGACAAGACCTGTATCTCACTCTTGTGTTTCCAGGGCCTGGAATAGGAGCTGTGACATGTTTATGAATCATGTTTAGTACTTGAGGTTAATAAAAGGGGATTGACTTAGCGCAACTTAGATCGACCTGAGAGAAACTATGGTAGCTTGGTTGGGTCCAGTTTTTAAACATTTTTAAGTAGGATATCTTTAGGATGATACAGTCTTCAAGCACCTGAATCCTTTCACATTCTCTGCTACTTCTCTCCCCTCCTACAATCATTTTTCCATTGCTTATCGCTTCCCATCTCACACATCTCAGCTTTGACCATCCACTTTAGCCCGATGCTGGCTGTGTGTGCCTCACCTTGCAGTTCCTATCCCATTCTGCTTCCTTCCTCCTCATTTCGGAAAGAGCACAAAGAAGCAGGCATAAACAGCCCCTCATCCGCACCCCACCCTTCAGAAAATTGAGGCAAGGGTTTAGGCACATAATGATGCAGCGAGCCCTGGCACCAGAGGCCCGGTTCCTGTCCTGCCTGCCTGTCTATTCCCATTGCATCTATCTGTGCACAAGTTTTTCCAGTTGGAAAATATGGTGAGGCAGGGCTCCGTGTCTGGGAGGTGAGAGGGGAGCATGTATCATCATCATCAACTCCTCCCATCTCAAGAAGCACTTGGAAATGTAGTTTTCACAATGACTGAGGAGAGCCGTGTTACTGCTTATGTGGCAGGGCCAAGGATACAGATGCTTCCTGACCTACAGTGTGCTTACATCCCAATAAACCCATGAAAACATAGAAGTCACAAATGTATTTATGCTTGATCTTTGTCAAAAAGCTAGCGAGTGGTTAAAAAATGCATTGGATCCACCTCGTCTGCTTCACCTTGCACTTCACTGCTCACGGTAGAATGTGGCTGATGGCTCTGTGTGACCACGTGGCTGGCAGAGAGCTGCCCAGCACTGTGAGGCAGGCTCACACCACACATTGTTAGTCTGGAGAAGGTCAGAATGGAAGATGGAGGTCTCCGCTAACAGTGTGTAGCTGTTTCACCTCCATAAAGTCAGCCATGGTCTTTGGAGGACCACTGATACTAACTTGCCTCTGTTGATCAACATGGAACCATCTCCAGAGTTACCCAGGGCCCAGTGGACCCAGCGGTGCTGAAATGATGACCTTTGCAAAGGAATCGACAGCTTTACAATCAACAAATCATACCTGAGCCAAGAGCTGTTTTTCTATGAAAGAACTGAAAGAGGGCGTGAGAATTAATGCTGAGCACGGGGAGCCTACTTAACATTACGTGGTTGCTTGACTGTGAAACTCTTAATGATATCATAAAGTTGGATAAAAGCTAACTCCCGCAAAGACCTTGCAGGCCCCCTAAGAGCTGAGTCCCTTCCTGCCGTACCATGCTGGCTCCCACCTGTTCTTCCTTTATAGTCCAAACCATTTTCAGGTCTCTGACATGCTGTGCTGTTTCTCGCCTTTCTGTTGCTGTGTTTTTTTGGTCTGGGGAGCCCTGAGCCTCCCCGACTCCTCAATAAACTCTTCCTAGATTCAACTCAGACATCACATCTTTTGAGTAAAATCTTATACGGAATTTTCCAGTCCAAACAGGGGCTTGGCTACCCAAGTCTAGTCTCCTCTGCTCCCCCACCCCGGTCTCCTCCACAAGAATCCAGAGAGAACTCTGCACTAGAACTTCAAGTCCTGAAGAAGCAAGGAACTTCTGTTTAGTGAATAATTTGCCCTGAGGAGACATCAACACGAAATTCTTTCCATCAGCAGCCTGGGCTGAGATCAAGCCCATGATACTGATCCACAGTGAGACAGGAGGCAGGACTGAAGCAATGTGTAAGGGTTCCACCTACATGGTGCTGGGCCGTTGGTGCTGAGCCGTTACTGACCTGAAACACAATATCTGCTTCTTTTTTTTGGGGGGGGGGGCAGAGTGGGGGTGGAATCAGGGTATGTATGTTTTGTTTTTTAATTATGTTTCGAAAATACCTGAAGGTTAACAATGGAAAAGAAAAACAACCCAGTTTTCCTCTGTTACATTTCATTTCCAAGCCGAGATAAAGTTCTTGATGGGTTTGACAACTGATGGAGCAATGCACCTGACTCTAGTGCAGGATTCTAGACTGGCTGGAGGACAAGTAGCAGCCTCAGCCCAGTCCCATGCACAGGCCACCAGGAAGGCTGCTGAGCTGTCAAATGTCCCTGATCAGGGGAGGCAGCCCAACAGCTAGCTGCCCAGCAGGTGTTGCCTTCTGCATCACCACAGGCTGTCAAATGCAATCAGCTTCCAGATGCAGACAGACTTCATGGCGTGAGCATGACCTAAGACCACTGCAAGTGGATGCACAGCCACGCCCAGGACAGTTTCAGAAGAGGGACTTCTCTGATAATGACAAATCAATTGAGTTGATTGCCCCTAAGGTACCTAATCCAATCCTTTTTTTTTAAGAGAAGGCCAGAATCTCTCGGCTGAGGACAACCTTGGCCTCTTACGCATTCTCTTCCATCACGCTTCAGCACTTCAGTTGTATATTCTCATCACAAAGACAAAGCAAGCTAGGTTTTTTATGATTAATTTATTTGAAAGGCAGAGTTAAAAAGATCCCATCTGTTGGTTTACTCTCCAGATGGTTCACGGGGCTTGGCCAGGCAAAGCCAGGTGCTGAGAACTGCATCCAGCTCTCTTACCTGGATGGTGGGGACCCAACTCCTTGAGCCACAGCCAGTGCCTTCCAGGACAGCCAGAGTGCAAAATGAAAGCAGGCACTTCTGGGGTGCAGGCATCCTAAGCAATAGCTTTACTCATAGGCCAAATGTCCACTTGGTGATTACTTCGTAAACAAACATTTTAGTATTATTGCTTTTTAGTTCAACTTGGAACTGTTTTTCACTACTTCTCATAAGACTATTTAAAAGTTCACTTTTTCTACTTCTAAAACACTTATTTTTCTCTCTTTTTTAAAGAAATTCATTTTCGTTTCTGGACGGGGGAGTAAATGAAAATGTTTTAAAAGGAGAATTAGAAAGTGTAATATTCCTTCTATTCTGAATTTATTTCCATTTACAAGAGAAATTAAAAAATACAAATACAGGTATCACTTAAAGTTGAATCTAAAATACATGCTTAGATAAAGACTGATAATCAAATTCTGAAGAGAAATATTGTCTAAAAGGAGACAAAATTTTAGAATGACGTTCCATAAAAATGAGAGAAAAAGTCCCATCAGGCTGTAGGTGCTCAGTCATTTCTTAATAAAAGAATTAACTAGAAGTTCTTTTTCCCACTGAAACAGCCAGCAATCACGAAAGCCAGTGAACAGACTAAATCTAGAAAAAAAAATCGATATTGTGGTGGAGCTCAAAGCCTAATGTTAGACAATGCTCTTAAAGCAGCAAAACAAAGCATTAAAAGTAGGGGAAAGCAGAACGTTTGAGGTCAACAACAGTAGGGATGAGGGGGTCACTGGGCCCTATATTCCACACGTTTCCATTCCCAGGACTTTCCTTCAGGCATTCTCACTTTGAGACAAGGAATGACGTTGATTTTGTTCCAGACAAAATCATTCGCCATCAAGGTGACACCCTAATCACTCAGCTCGCTCCACGGTATTTGACCCCTTCCTTTTACCCTCTCCCTCCAATGAATTCTAGAGAAAAACAGTTCTGTCTAGAATAGCCACATAGGGCTCCCCAATTATTGCTACTGCTTTCTGAAGAAGAGCTAGCCTGCCTTGGAGCAGAAGGGCTGAGGCTATCCTGGAAAAGAGAACCTTCATTTCTGGGTCAGAGCAATGCATTTATTTCCCACAAGCAAGCCAGGGTTGTTGAAAACACAGACACCTCCCTTATTCCCCTTCATCTTCCCGTGCAAGTGGTTCATTCTCCTTCATCCATAACTTATAGTCAAGCTTGCATTTATGGAAGGAG